TCCCAAGTAATGTTGTCCCAGGGCCTGGATGAGCTGGAATGAAGCCAACACAGGGAAACCCAATCCCATCCATTTCCCAGATTCTTATCATCCCCTACACACACCACACACACACACACACACACACACACACACACACACACCATCCCAATGGATGTGGTCAAACTTTTGGATCCATCATTCTCCAAACATTCCTACTCTTCATCCCAAACTCAAACCCACTAAGTTTGGATGACAAAGGGCACTTTGTACATATGAAATAACAAAATTATTGGTAAGAAAAATGAAAAAAAAATAGAAAAAGAAAATTTCAAGCCAGGAGTGGTGACACATATCTATAATCCCAGCACTCTGGGAAGCCAACGCAGGAGGATTGCAAGTTCAAGCCAAGTATGGGCAACTTAATCACTCAGAGAGACTCTGTCTCAAAAAATAACGTAGGTGGCTGGGGATGTCTCAGAGTGTGTTAGTTACTTCTCTCTCATTGCTGAGTCAAAATACCCAACACCCAAAGTTAAAGGGAAAAGGGTTTATTTAGCTCACAGTTTGTAAATGACTGGTTTCAAAATTGGCTGGCTCCAAGGCAGAGTGGCACATGGCAGAGGGGCATCACAGAGGAGAAGCAGTTTGTGGCACCCACATGGTAGCAAAAGCAGCAAGGGAACTTCAACAGCATCTATGCATCCCTTTATTTTAGCTAGACGACTGGGATTAGGGTGGTGCCAAACCAATCAGTATACTGGTTTGGTAATCACATGCCCATAATCTCAGCATCATACCCTGCAGGTTCAGCCACCTCCTATGACTGCATGAAGCTTTGGGGAGACATCTAGACCCAAACCATAACACACTGTGAAGCCCCTGGGTTCAATCCCCAGTACTAAAAAAGAAAGAGAAAAAGGAAAGAAGGGAGGGAGAGAAGAATGAAAAAAAAAAGAAAAAAAATCGGAATGAAGAAGATAAATGTGAGTATAGACCGGAAAGCAAGTGCATCCCAACATCATGGGGGCACCTAAAAAAAAACCCCTATTGTGTGCTGTGACTTTAATGAGAGGCTGGAACCCTAGTGGCAAGGCTGCGAGGGCCACCTTCTTCCCTGGCACCGCTCTGCGAGAGAGGAAGGAGCTGGTGAAAGAAGGATCTGCCGCAGCTCCTGCCTGTATTCTTCTCTGTTCAGCCAAGGCCCTGGGAAGGGTTATGTACGCACCTCTGCTTTACAGTACCACTTACTCATCAAGGTCACTGATCTGGAATTAGTCAAATTACCCCACTCAGACTGTTTGGGGTGTCACCAATGCAAGTCCCCAGAGCTGATGCGTTTTTCAGTCCCATCTCATCTGATCATTAAATCACCTTCCTAACTTTAAAACAACCTCTGTGTGTGATGTCTCCGGAATCTCCTTAGGTCTTTTGCCCATCCCCATGGCCCTTTCACTCTATGGCCTTTGTAGCCTCATTCTGGCTTTTTAAGGCACAAGGGGCTACCTGTTCCCTCATCCATTTCTGTTCCTGGGTGACCTCATCCTCTTGTACAGCTTCAGTTGTTGCTTAGAAGCTCATGGTTCCAAACTGCACAGCAGGGAACCGAAGCAGTAAACTCCTGCTTCCTTGACATATCTCCCTGACTTCCTGATTTCAGAAGCACACTGACACTTGGCTCAGGATGTGGGCTTTAAACTTGGTCTTCCTCCTTGTTGGGTTGGCATAACCAATGGCTCCACCACCCAGGCCAGAAACTTCAAGGCCACCCCTGCCTTCATCCTCACCTTATTCCCATGTCCGGGCCATCGTCAAGGCCATTCCACCCCGAACCACCAACCACTTCTCAGCCCTGTCCACCTTCTCCACCTGTCCAGCACCACCAGCATCCTAGCTCCCCTTGTCACTTGCTTGCTTGGGTGACTACCTGTGCCACTATGCACCTCTCAGCAACTACTTTCCCTCCAGCCTGTTGCCCACTCCCCTCCCTTAAGACAGCCCTTGGGATGAAGATCAGTGCCAGCGCCTGTGGTGCACCGGACTCTTCACTTTCTCCAGCACAGTACCTTCTCTTCGCTGTCTCATTTTCAGTTCCACCATTCCCACAGTTCTGTTGCCAGAGCACGCTCTCCCACAGCCTCTGCACAGCCTGTTCCCTTGGCTGGAATGTTCTTCCCACAGCTGATACTCTTCCTCACATCACCTCAATTGTCACTTCTTGGTCTTCCTGGACCTAAACCACTCATATGTTTCTCCCAGCCCTGTGTGTCTCCCCTGGGCAATATTCATCACAGGAGTGACTTGACATTTACCACTGTGATCTTTCAGTTCACAGCCACTCCCCATAATACCATAAGGTTGATAAGGGACAATGCCTGCTTATGACTGGCACCGAACTCCTAGTTCCTAACACAGTTGGTGAGACCATAAAATCATATA